TTTTTTTTTTTTTAAGAATTATTTGTTAGGGCCAGCAGGTGACGTGGTGGTTAAGGGTGCTGGTCTCCCACATACCAACTGCAGTTTGAGTCCCAGACCTGGTGGCTTCCTTGCTTTCTTATTCTCTCTCTCATCAAATTAAAGTAAATAAATGATCAAATAAATAAAGTTAAATAAAACAATTCTTTAAACATTTTTTAAAAGAATTATTTAATTTTATTATCATTACTATTATTATTGCTGTTGTTTTAATTCAGCAGAGACAGAGAGAGAGGGGAAGTGAGAAGGCAAGTCACCAGGTCTAGGCCTCGAACCATGGTCAGCCATGTGGAGTCCAGCACCTTAACCACCATGCCACCTGCTGGTCCCTGAAGACTTTTCTTGCATTCTCCAGAACCCTCACTGGATCCCACCACACCGGCTGCAGTGGAGAACTTAGCAGCGGAAATCTTGCCTGCAGAGCTCAGGTATTGTGGGGGTTCCAGGCAGCAGGGTCCCGCCCCCAGCCCGACTCCCCGGCACGCATACCCCTCGCCCAGTTTGCTTGGTCTAGCTCTCAGGTCCTACCCCAACCTCTAGACCCGCCTACTCCTAATTCTGCCTTTTCCTGGCCCAGGGCTCTACCCTTCACAGTGGCTTTGCATCTCCGTCCTCGAAACACACATTTGGTTCAATCCACCTGGCTCACTTCCTGTTTCTTTATATTTTTACTCTTTTATTTATTTTTTTTTTTTGGAGAGGTTTTTGCTATAGGGCATGTACACTCGCCAGACAGAGACAGAAAGTGAGAAATCACCTCCCAGGGGGATGGTCACCCCGCAATCCCTTCTCCTCCATTCTCCTCTTGGGATCTTGGGCATGCACGCACACGCGCCCGGCGTGAGTTTAAGCCACCGGGTCCAGGACGCGAACCGCGGTCGACTACATGGGAGTCCAGCGACATAGCCATGACGCTAACTGCTGGTCCCAACCTGGCTCACTTCCTGTGCGAACATCCTACACCCTAGCCCAGCCCATTTGTATCTCTTAAGTGTAGTCTTAGCTTTTTTTTTTTTTTTTTAAGGATTATTTTATTAAACTTTATTTATTTATTTGAGAGAGATTTTTATTACAGGGTGTGTGCACTTGCCAGAGAGACAGACAGGAAGTGAAAGATCACCCTCCAGGGGGATGGGCACACCACAATCCCATGTCCTCCATTCCCTCAGGATCTTGGGCAGGCATGCACACACACCTGGTGTGGGTTTAAGCTACCGGGTCCAGGACTCGAACCACAATCGACTACGTGGGAATCCAGCGACGTAAATATTATGCCATCTGCTAGTCCCTATTTTTTTATTTTAATTTATCCATCTTTTGAAGAAAATTACTTTATTTGACTTTGTTTATCTATTTATTTATTTTCATTTGACCAAGGAGGGATAAGAGTGAGAGAGAGAAAGAGAGAAAGCAAGTCGCCAGGTCTGGGACTCGAACCTCAGTCGGCCATGTGGGAGTCCAGTGCCCTTAACCACCATGCCACTTGCTGGCCCCTCATTCATTTATTTTCATTTGACCAAAGAGAGGGAAAGTGAGAAAGTAAGCCACCAGGTCCAGGACTTGAAACATGGTCGGCTACATGGGAGTGTCCAGCGTCTTAACCACCACACCACCCGCTGGCCCCTCTGCTGGTCCCTATTAATTTATTTTAATTTGACCAGAGAGGGAGAGAGTGAGAGAGAGAGCAAGCAAGCTGCCAGGTCTGGGACTCAAACTGCCATCCACCATGTGGGAGTCCAGTGCCCTTAACCACCACGGCACCTGCCGGCCCCAGCATAGCTCTGGCTTTGATATCCTGTGCCATCGCGGATTACCCCTTGTCCCCAGACTCTTTCTAGTCTTGCATTCTGCTTTCCAGCAGCCTCCTCCACGGGGTTATAACCCTTCTCTGTAGCTCCGCCCTTCCCTGGCTCCACCCCCAGACCCAGCTAAGAGCTCCACCCACCGGTGCCTTGGCCCCGCCCCCAGACCCAGAGCCTGAGTGCCAGCTTGGCTCTCAGTACTCCTGCCCCACGGTCGGTCGGGCTCCGCAGTCCCGCCCCTAGCTCCACCCGCTGATCACCTGCTGAGCAGCCCTCAAAGCTGAGCTGGCCTGCAGGTGACTGTCCCCACACACCTGCTCACACCTCTGTGCTCCACAGGGAGACGCTCCTGCGGCTGCAGCTGGAGAACAAGAGGCTGTGCCAACAGGAGGCG